GTGGAGGGCAGGGGGCTGGGGGCTGCACAGGGGCCACGGTGAGTGCTGAGCACCAAGAGGGTGGTTTTGCACAAGAGGCTGCAGTGCGTGGGTTCGGCACAAGAGGGATTTTCCTGCTAAAACAGATGGGGGGCAGGGAGCACGTGAAAGACCACTAATCCCCTAATCCCTGGATTATGGCTCCATTTCAGGGGCTGGGATTTGCCAGCAGCATGGGGGGCTACATTATCAATTGCATTTATTTATCTCATGCGCAGGGTCCCACAGACACAGTGAGGCACATGGAACATGTCCCCAGGACAGAGCCAGACCGAGAGGGCTCAACCCTCCCAGCACAGAAGTGACCTGACCCTGGCCCATGAGCATGATATCCTGGGCTGGGGTATATGGCCCCAGTGCTCCAGGAATGGAGAGGCTGGACATGGCCTGTGCAGCATCCATGGCCCTTGTGCTGCCTGCAGCGCCAGTGCCAGACCCCTTTCCTGGCACTCCGCAGCTCCCAGGCTGAGGAAAAAGGGGTCTAGCAGTGGGGCTGCAGCAGTGCAGGGGCAGAGGAGCTGGGGATGAAGGGAGGCAGCTGGCTTTCCCTGGGCATGGGGGGGGAATCAGCTGCAAGTGGCCCCCACACCCGGGTGCAGGCTGGATTCTGGCATGGGGCCAGGCACAGCATCAGTGCCCCACTTAACTGCAAGAGGATGCCCAGGAATGACGAGGGAGAGCTGCACAGCTCCTCTGCCAGGCCAAGGGGTTGGCACAGCAGAGCTGGACCAATTCCCTGTGATGCCTCTGCACCCCCCCGGGATGGAGACTGCTGAGCTATGCAAGACCCCAAAAGCCTGAGCTGGTCTGGGACATGGAGCATCCCTGCAAACTGTGCAACTGCAGACACCGCAGAGCCACCTGAGCACGTCCCAGACCCTCCTGCATCCCCTGTGGCAAACAGAGCCTGGGTGGGGGATCCATCCCCACAGCCCTGCCCCTGCAGCCGGCACACAGCCCTTGCTCATCCTGATGCCAGCAGCAGTTGAACCTCTCAGGAGCGTGACACACACCAGTGGCGCTGGGAAACCTCCTAAGGGCACGGAGCGGGCAGCCTGGCAGCAGCATGATGGGGAGGTCAGGGCCACCGCGCTGCAGAGATGCCCGTGCTGCACTCCTGTAGCAATCCCCGGGCACCGTCACAGCCTGCCTGACCCTCACCCTGTCTGGACGGCAGTTCCAGCACCAGGGGCTCAAGGGCACAAGGCCAGAAGAGACCCCCAAGAGGACAGGGGGCAGTGGGGCTATCCCAGGAGATTTGCATCATGGTGTGTCCCGCGCCGATGTCCTGACACCCCATGACACCATGGGCTGCCTGTTCTGCAGCACCTCAGAATGATGGAGGGATCTTGCTCATCCCCATGCAGACAGGTCAGGGCCCTGCGGCCAGCAACAGGGCAATAACAGAGCCTGAAGGTGACAGAGCCACGGGGGCCAGGAGCCGGTGAAGCTGCCCAAGGCCAAGAGCAGAAGGGTGGTTGTGGGGCGGGGCAGGGCAGGAGGCCGCGAGCTTCTGCATCACGAGAGCCCTGCACCACGCACAGCTGGCACGGGCCAGATGCGCTGCCAGCAGCAGGGCAGAGGCAGCGGGAGCCCAGCACGGGGATCAGCCTTGGGAGCGATCAGCCACCGGCCCCCGCTGCCGTTCAGAGCCGCCGAGGAGCTCCTGAGCAGCCCCGTGCCAGTGGCTGCAGCTGAGCGAGGGTGAGGAGCGGCTGTTACCAAGGGTCTGGCACCGGAGCGCAGCTGACCAAGTCACTGGGCTGTCCTGTGTCCCACACACCCCCCGGCCCGGGCCCCCCGGCCCTGGCACCCCACCAGAGCACCCCGCAGCAGGTTCAGTGGCACGGAGAGGCCTTGGGCACGTGCTGCACGTGGCAGTTGGGGCTTGGGCTGCCCCAGGGACCCAGGGAGCAGAGCAGTGTGGTCGGCAGGGGGGGCTGGATCCCCCACCCGCACAGCCCCGCAGAGCCTGCCCCACACACACCCCCCAGCCCTCCCGGGGTAGCGGCCCCCCTGCACTAGGGGTCCCCAGTGGCCCCCTCCCGCTTGGGGCTACCCCCAGCTCCGCTGCCGCACACAGCTGACAGCCCCACGGCGGGTCCGGGAGAGCGGCTGGACCCCCCCAGCACCAGGAACCGCCGGCAGGGATGACACCGGGCCCGGTTTCCATGGGAACCAGAGAGGCTCCTTAACCGGTTGGTTGCCATGGCGACTGCCGCCGAACGGGGCTGCCTCGGGACACGGCGGAGGGGGCTCCTCTCCGGGGATGTTCCGGTGCCCCCCCCCAAGCCAGGGCGGCCGCATCGGGGCCAGAGCCCGGGGCTGGGGCGGGGGCGGGGGGGACCCCTGCGGGGCGGGGCCAAGGGCGGGGCGGGGCGGGAGGGGCGTGGCCAGAGGGCGGGGCACACCCGCGCCAGAGGCTGCCCTGTCCCGTCCCGGCAGCGCCCCCTGGCGGCACCGAGATCGCGCGCACCCCGCAGCGCCCCCCCCGGCACCGGGCGGCAGCTCCGGGCCCGCACCGCGCTGAGCCCCCCCCAGCGCTGCCCCCGGGCAGAGCGCGGCACCAGCCCGCGGCCGGAGCTCCCACCCCGGTACCGAGCCCCGCGGCCGGCTGCAGCCCCCACCCCGGCCTCTACCAGCCCAGCGTGACGTGGGGCAGGACAGGAGTGCCGCTTGCGAGCCCCCGCCTGCGGCCCGGCCCAGCCCCATCGCCCCCAGGCCGCCCTGCAGGTACAGCCCCACGGCAGTCACTCAACCATCCCCCCGGGGCTGCACCCACAGCAACACGGGGCATGAATGCGGGCAGCCTCAGGGCTCCCCCGCCTGCTGCCCGACCCCCGGCACACGCTCCCCACCACACTGAGCCGCGGTGCAGGGTCAGTCCAGGCAGCGGCCGTAAGGGCTGGGCTGCCACCGTCCTTTGCGAGGGCACAAGGTCAAAGCTCAGCCAGAGGGACACCATCCCTGCCACAGCCCCTACGGTGTAGCCCCCCCAGCACCCCCAGCCAGCCTCGCTCTGCACACGGCCCCGCACGAGCACATCAGCCACCCAGCTGCTGACTGCTCCGGGAGGGCCACGGGCTCCAGCTGTGGTTCCAGCTGTGGCTCCAGCTCAGAAGGGGCTGCTCTGCCCCAGTGCAGCCCATGGGCCAGGCCCAGCTGCGCCAGGATGCCATGGGGTGACACGCAGCCCTGGCACCACACACGGGGGCACAGCCCGGCCTGGACTCTGCGGCCCCATCCAGCTGCTCGCTGCCTCCCACCCGCGCCCTTCGCCAAGGGTGCAAGGTCACAGCTCCGAGCAGCGCAGTGCTGCCGTCGGCTGGGTGTCTGGGATCGATACAGCTCCGGTAACAGCGCAGCCCTGCCACGACATCCCCTGGGCACCGCAGGGCGACGGCCTGCCAACCCCCATGCCCACCGCAGCCCCATGGGTCACCGCCGCCACCACCACCTTCCCCACACTCTCACACCAGCCCAGCTACAGCCCACCCTCCTTGACAAGGAGGGGCACGCAGCCTCGCACCCCGCAGCCATGTCCCTGCGAGCCAGCTGTGATCCCACTGTCGGTCCTGCCTCACTCCACTCCACTCCATAGCGACAGCCCCCCCGAGGAGTGGGGGCAGCCCCGGAAAGAGCCCGTGTACGAGGAGGCCTGCCCGGGCGACCAGGACGTGCTCCCCGCTCTGCTCCCGCCGGCTCCCGAGTCCTGCAGCTCCACGGCAGCCCCTCTCAGGGGGTCCCCAGCACCTCCCAGGGGCCCGGCCGACCGACTGCCAGCCCCGGGCTGCCCTGCACGCCCCCACGGTGCCCCGACGTCTCGTCCCTGCCCCGCGGACCCGACCCACGGACCCTGCCCCACGCCGTTCCCCACAGGCTGTGCCCCACGAGCTCTGCCCTACGAAGATTCCCCCTCCGCCGGCCCCGCCGCCCCTGCCCCGGCGCTCACCTCTGGTGTCGCGGCCGGGCTGGCGGCCGCCGCCGCCGGATGCGCGGTCGGGACCGCGGCCGGGAGCGGGGCCGTGGCGGGGCAGCGCGGTGACGGTGAACCTCCGGCTCATGGCCCCGCCGCCTCCACAAGTGGCTCCGGGCCCCGGCTGCCGCCGAGCGCGGCCCCGGCGGGCGCTGACCGGGGTCCTAGTGCCCGAGGCACCGCCCGCCGCGCCGCCCCGCGGCTACGGGGCTGACACGGATCGGCACAGCTCAGCGAAGCTCAGCCCGGCTCGGCTCGGCTCGGCTCGGCCCAGCTCGACGGGGCGGGCAGCGAGCCGCCCGCAGCCGCCGTGCACGAGGAGTTGTGGGTCTGGACCCCGGCGGGACTCGACGGGGCCGCGCTCTACCCCCGCCCTGCGCGGAGCCACGGCCGCTAATTACAGCTAATTATAGCCCCAGGGCTGCGGCCGCCCCGCCCTGCCACGGCCCCGGGCACCCCGGCCATGAACCGGCCCCGGGCTCCGCTGGGTCCGGCAGGCGCTGGCCAGGGTTGGGCAGTTCCGAAAGGGGGGGAGCACCCAGGCAGCAGCGGTGGGGGGTCCGGCCGCACCCCGCGTCCCGGCCTGGACAAACGCCTGTCCCTCACCGCACATGGAGAGCCGCGAACGTAGGGGAGGGCCGGGGTCTGGTGGGGTTCCGGGAGGAGAGGGGCAGGAGGGGCTCTGGACGGTGGAGGGGCACGGGGGAGCCTTGTAAATGGTGTGGGGCAGGTAGCGGGGACGTTGGGACCGGAGACATCCTCCCTGCTGGTACCGTGTCTCTTCGGGATCCCAGAGCCCTCAGCAGAAGGGCGGTTTGGCTGCAGCCTGCCCACCCAGCGCCCCTTCCCCCTGAGCGCTGGAATCCCACAGCCCAGGAGGGCAATGCCCCCTGCCCCGCACCTTGGGGGTTTCACCATGCTGTGGGGCTCACCACCATGGGGCTCCCCACACCACAGTCAGCTGACAGAGCACGTGGAGGCCATGTCCAAAGGATTGGCTTTATTAAAAACAGGCAGATGGAGGTGGGCAGAGCGGGCAGGAGCGGAGCAGAGCCCCCAGCCCTGCCCTGGCCGAGTTCCTGGGCGCCAGCTCCCAGTGGATCCCAGCCCAGCTGGCTCAGGAAGAAAAAGTCATGGAAATCCGTGCGTACTTTGCACCAGGCAAACACCCCTGTAGGCACTGGCAGGGCTGGCACAACGAGAGTCCTGCTCCCCAGCTGGGGCTCCCCTGGCCAGGCAGCTCCCGAGGGGCAACCCCAGGACTCCCAGCCTCCTCGTGCTGGGCAATAGCAGAGCCCCCACCTCAGCTGGGGCTGCCCCATGGGCTGCACTGCCCCCCATGCCCCAGGGATGAGGCTGCAAGTTGAGAGCGGTGGGCAGGGAGCAGCACACCGGCCACAGGCGTCCGGTCAGGTCCTCAGTGCTGGGGGCACTGCAGGATATCATACTTGACGTAGCCCACCCGGTCCACCTGGTAGTGCGGCGTCATCCTCCAGTAGAAGCTGCCACGGCAGAAGTAGTACTTGTCTGGGCAAGGAGGGAAAGCAGCTTCAGGGGGAGGCCAGACCTGCGAGCACCCAACCCAGTGGCCTCCCATGTGCTATGGGCACAGGGATCTGCCCCTGGCACAGAGCCCTTGCTGGGCCCCGGCCACCCCCACCACAGGGACCCACTGTGCTGACGGCACTTCCTGCTCCTGGGCCACTTCCCAGAGCTGTGAGCATCCCAAGCCCAGCACCCAGGTGATGTAGCCCCTGCCCACAGGAGGCTCATGGCAGCCCGGGGCTGACCACCCACCTCCCTCCCACCAGGTCCCAGCTCACCTTGGTAGAGGAAGACGTTCCGTGCATCAAGGGGAACGCCAGTGAAGACGTCATCAGTGGCACGGGGGTAGCCCTTGTCCACCCTCTGCACCTTCACGTCCAGCCTGTGAGGAGAGCAGAGCCATGCTTAGGGGTGCCTGGAGCCCCCATCCCAGCCCCTCTCCGGGGCAGCCGGTGGGCACCATTGCCACCATCAGACCTGCTCACCTCCAGTAGCTCTCCCCGCTGAAGAGCAGCACTTTGCCACGGCCCCGCTGCAGGGCCCCCGAGATGCGCCCGGCTTCCTTGCCGATGCCCAGCTTCTCAATGCCCCGGGGGCCCAGCACGCTTTTTCCAGAGAACACCCAGAACTGCCGACCTACAGCCAGAGAGAGCACGGGCGTCAGCCGGCCCCGAGGTGCCACAGCGGCACTAGGCTCCTCACAGCGCCAGCAGCACCCAGAGCAGAGGCAGGAGGGACGGAGCTCACCGGAGAAGAAAAAGACCCTCTTGGTGAGCACATCCTGGAAAGCAGCATCGATGACAGCTGGAAGGCCCGGCCACACATCCGCAACAGAGAAGGCGCCCTGGATGCCCGAATCCCAGAAGGATGAGAGGGTCCAGTATTTCCTGGTGGGGAAGGTCAGCCATCCTGATAACCGTGGCCTGGCACAGCCCCGTGTTCCCCCACACCCCTCCATCACCACGGCACACACCAGGGCAGGAGGTGCCAGGCACAGCTGCTCACCCATCCTTGAAGAAATGCAGCTCCCCATTGATCTCTGTGATAGCATCGAAGTTCTTCTCCACACAAGCATCTTGGCTGGGGTCCACAGGAATGGGCTCAGCCGTGGGCTCCGGTGTCTCCTCCTCTTCCTCCTCAGTGGTGGAGGTGCTGCCAGCCTCCGTGGGCAGGGGCTGGGGCTCCTCAGTGGGTGTGGGCACAGGGGCAGTGGGCTCAGGGCCAGAGCCATGACCTGAGCCAATACAGGGGAGCGAGTGAGGCTGGGGCCAGCCTAGCAGTGTGGGGCTCCGGCACTCCCGCTGCACCACAGCTGCTCACCATAGAGGTACTGGATGCCCCGGACATCATCCGGGTCCAGCTGGAAGTCCTGGACGTAGCTGTACATGGGGTACATCAGGGCCTCACGCACGCTGGAGTGGTCCAGCCCCAGCGAGTGCCCAAACTCATGAGCAGCCACCAGGAAGATGCTGTAACCTGGGGGAAAGCACCAGCCTCAGCGTCTGGTGGGGTGGGACACAACACACCAGCCAGGGACCATAACCCCATGCCAGCACGGTACCTCTGTCAGGGCAGAAGCCCCACTTCTTGTCGGTGTCGTAGTTGCTGGTGGTGGCACACCAGAGCTTGCCGTCCTGCCGGCCCTGGCTGGTGCAGGCGCTGTAGGACTGCCCCAGGAAGGTGAAGGGGAACACACACGGGTCCCCCTGGGAGTTGCCGCCGATCACTGCCGTGTCTGCAGTGTAGCAGTGTCACTGGGGCTGGCCCCAGACCCCAGGCGCACCAGCCAGGCCATGGGGCAGCCCCAAGACCCCTCTGGTGCCCATCCTGTGCCCAGGGACCAGCTCCCTCTGCACCCTGTCCCTTCGCACCTCGGTTGGGGCAGAAGCCGTATTTCTTGTCCTGGTCGAAGCTGCTGGTGGTGGCACACCAGCGGTAGCCGTCGGAGCGCCCATCCGTGGTGCAGGCGTTGTAGGAGGTGCCGTCAAAGACAAAGGGGAAGACGCAGGGAGCCCCGTCGCTGTTGCCGCCGTTGGTGTAGAGGACTGTGGAGTGAGGAGGGGTGAGGACAGCGCTGGGCTCTGGCAGGGCTGGGCAGGGGCTGCAGCCGCTGCTACTCACGCTCGCTGGGGCAGAAGCCGTATTTCTTGTCGCGGTCGTAGCTGGCCGTGGTGGCACACCAGGGCAGCCCGTCCGTGCGCCCCTCCGTGATGCACCGGGAGTAGGAGCGGCCCTCGAACATGAAGGGGAAGTGGCAGTCGGCCCCATTGGCGTTCCCGTGGCGGGTCTTCACCACTGCTCGGAGAGGGGCGGCTCAGTGACGGGGCTGGATGGGTGCCGTCAGCCCCCCGTGACCCACCACTCTCTGCCCTTACCTAAGCCTGTTCCCAGCGTCCAGAGCTCATCGTCATCAAAGTGGGCATCGCCCTGGATGCCACGGCCAGGGGGAAAGGCATGAGCCAAGAGCCCGTCCTTGCCATCGAAGGGGTACCCGTCTCCATGCTCTGTGGGGACAAGCACCCTCAGAGCTGGCTCCAATCAATGAGCTCCTGTGCCCCTGGTGTGGGCATGGACCCCTGAGTACATGCCCCACATGCTCACACGTGCCCTGTTGGCACAGGAGGTGGCGGAGGGATCCCAGACATGATGTGGGGTGATGATTCCATGGGCCCCTTCCCCATGGCTGAGCCATCTCCCAGCTCCCTGCCTGCCCACGAAACATCACCTTGGCTGCCGAACATGATCATGATGTCCGCCTCGCCACTGTATATCTGGGTGAAGGTGAGAGGGGTCACATCGCTCCACACTTTGAACGCCCTCTTGAAGGCATCATCGATCACGGCACGGTCCAGGTCAGGGGAGTAATTCATCACCCTGGGGGGGAGCAGGGGTTCAGCGCTGCCAGGTCCTGGTTTCTGGTGCAGGAGTGACCCTGCTTTGGGTGCACAGAGGGAACCAACGCCCCGTGGGCGCAAGGCTTCATCTCCCAGGGCAGACTCACCGGTACGTCAGGTCCATGTGGTCCCACTTGAGGTCCCCCTCAAAGGTGAGGAAGGTTCCGACGTCGGGGACACCACAGCGAGGGGCTCGCATGGCCTCCAGCGTGGCGGCGTCCAGCTCCCCCGTCTGCTCCAGGCCCAGCTTCTCCTGCATCTGGCGCAGCGCCTTGCCCAGGGACACGCTCCTGGTGCCCGTGCGCGCCTCCGCCGCCGTGGTGTAGCCGAACCGCAGCAGGTAGCTCTGCGGGGAGAAGGCAGCCCCAGGGGCTGAGCGCGGCGGGAGGGGCTCAGGCACCCCAGGCACCGCGCACCGGGTGTCCGACCCCCGCCCAGGAGCCCCCGCCGCTGCCCGGAGCCCCGCGGGGTCCCGGGGTGCTGGGAGGGGCCGCGCTCCCCTCACCTCCGCCAGCTCCAGGTCGGAGGAGCCGCTGAGCAGCTCCCCCGGGAAGGTGACCACCGCCCGCGGCTTGCTCTGCAGCGGGGCCGCGCAGCAGGAGACCGCCAACAGCCCCAGGGCCAGCGGCGCCAGGAGCGCGGGGGCCATGGTGCACGGCGGCAGGAGGGGCACGGTGGCTGTGCCGGTGCCGGTTCCTGCTCCTATTTATGGTCGGGGAGGGCCGTGAGTCACCCTCAGACCCCTCGACGTACGCTCCCTTCCCACGGTGACGAAACGCACACTCAGGCTCCTCTGTTCTGGCCTTAACCGTTTCATCACCTTGTTTACAAAACACGCTCGGTCCTGCACCACGTGCAGCCTGAGGACGGGTGCGAGGGAGGGACGATGGGGCACAGCACGGCGGTCCTGGGGCTGCCAGTATTGCCCTGCTCAAGACCATGGTGGCAGTGGGGACAGCAGTGGGGCGTGGAGGCCAGAGGCTGGCCAGGTGCTCAGGACCTCACAGCTGTGTCACCACATGGGCTGACTCATGCTGAGCTCAGCTGGCTGAGGGCTGATGTAGCCAGAGCCAGACCCGCCAGGACCTGGGTGAGCATCAGGGAAGGAGATCCCCTGCCCAGCGCCCTGTGCCTGCAGCCACCTGCCCGGGAGCTGTACACCAGAGCTCGGACTCTGGGATGCAGTGTGCATCCCCATGTCCCCTGCTGTGGCTGCATCATCCCAGTGGGGCAGAGCGTTCCCTGCACCGGCAATCCCTGTGGCTCATCACCCCACAGATGCCTCTAATCCAGCAGCTGCCTGGCAGAGCCCTGTGGGACCAGGCAGCGCATCCCTGGGAGCATCTCCATGCCTGGGGTGCACAGGGGTGCCCCATCCTCACTGTTGGCTGCTCCGCAGGGCACTGTTGATGCAGATTCCCACCTGGCACAACACAAACCTCACCATGGGATGGTGTTTTCCTGCTTCTCTCAAAGTGCCGACGCTTGTGGGAACAGGAGTGGGGAAGGGGAAAGCAAACAGGGATGAGGAGCGAGGGAAAACAGATGGCAGAGCGGGGAGGAAGGCGCAGTGTCAGCGGCGTGCAGGAGGGGGGAGCAGCCCAGCGACGCTGCCTGAGCTGCAGGTTTAGGGGTGGGTGCCCTTTCCCCAGCTCTTGCTGACAGTGCCCCACGAGGACGATCTCCCCGGGCTGCCCCATTGCTGTCAGTGCCCTGTGCTCCCCAAGGCCCGGTGCTATGCCCCTGCAGCCACCACCTCCCCACATCACCCTGGCTCCAGATGAACGGAGCAAACCGTTCCTGGCACAGCCAGTGTAGGAACAGGTTCCACCAGTGCCCAGCACGGCCAGAGCATGGCAAGAGGAGAGGGGTTCATCCCTGGGGGAGCATCGCCCGTGCAGGGCAGGGGGGCTCATGGAAGAGCTCACCATGGGCACAGGCTCTGCTCCGGACCCCCTCACCACCCAGTGACAAGCGGTGGGCACCGGTGCTGGCCAGACACAGCACCAGTGCCACAGGTGGTTGGGTGCCAGGAGCTCACAGACAGCACCGGGAAGAAACGGTGCTGGGAACTTGCAGGGTTGCCTCATTCCCCACCGCAGCCCTGCAAGCGCAGCCCTGGCTCCCAGGCGCAGGAAGTTGCTCCACAAGCAGCTGCTGTGCTGTGTCCCGGGGTGACAAACACATCCAGCCTGACCTGCTCCCTTTGGAACGCAGGACAGGGACCCCCACAGCCAGCCGCCCTCTGCGGGGTCCAGCCTGGCACCGCTCACCCCTATGCCTGGCCCAGCTCTTGGCAAGGCAGGAGGCTCCCCATGCTCGCTGCCCAAGACTTCCCTGGTGCTGTGGCAGATCCCTGGGCCTTTCCCATGCTATTCCCATCGCTCATTTCTACCGCATGCAGGAGCCGCAGCTCCCAGAGCCTGGGCTTGCTGCCATGGCACAGCCTGCACCGCACTGCACCGCCTGCGGCACCCCGAGGACAGAGCCATGGCCCAGCAGAGCAGCGTTGGCAGGGACAGGGCTCTGAGGAGAGCAGGCACAAGTGATGGCAGGAGGAGCAAAGACGTCCCCGCAGCCTGTGGTTGCGCTGGGTGCACGGCTCCGGGGTGCTCAGGACAATGGCCCAGCTTCTCCTGGAGCCGGGGGCTGCTGCTCCTGCAGGGGCTCTGGCCTCAGGTCTGCCCCTGGCCCAGCCTCTCCCACTGACTCACGGCCCTGCTCCCCAGCTTCCTCCTGGCACCAGCCCGGGGATTTTCTGATGACTCTGGAGGCTCTGCAGGGAGCAGAGGCAGGGCCAGGGCCGCAGGAAACCCCCGTGTCTGCCTGCACCAGCGGCCCCAGAGATGGGCAGGGGAAGTCCATGGGGATGGGCTCAGTGCTGCTGGAAAGAGAACACCTCCACTACAGGGAGCTGGGGCAGGGCACCGGTCCCTTGACACGGGCACATGCGGAGGGATGCTCAGGGCAGCTGCTGCCGCTGATGGGAGAGGAGGGAGCGGTGAGCATGGGCAGTGCAGCAGCACGAGGGCACTTTTGGTTGTCAGGGACGGCAGGAGCATCCCAGCCCAGCCCGCACCCACCCAGAGGCACCGTTTACAGCCAGAGCCCCTGTAAGGACAAGTGACATGGAAAAACCCACACAGACACCCTCCATCCCGGCGGCTGCTGAGCCACGAGGCTGCCCGTCACCACTGCCGCTGCCAAAAGGGGAAGGAAGAGCCACCGCAGCCCCTTCCCACGCCCTTACTCATGGCCACCCTCACACCGGTGGCCACTGCTGGGAGACCCCTGTGGGAAACCGGCCCGGGACCTGCCTGGGGCTGGGATCGCTGCTGGAGAGGCAGCGGCTCTGCCTGCGGCAGGAGCTGACCAGACACGGTGGCACCTCTGTACAGTTACAGGTCACCAGCCAGGCCAGCAGCAAGGTCAGGGGGGACGGGATGGAGCCAGGGACCCCCGGAGCCGAGCTGCTCCCCAAGCTCCTCTCCCCCAGCACTGGTGAGCAGGGGGGGTCTGACGGCTCAGCCCTGGGGTGCACGGCGGCAGCGGCCAAGGTGAGAGGAGAGTTGAGGACAGGGGACAAGGGGACACCCGGCTGCCACAGCCGCTGCCTGACACCCGGCCCAGGGAGGGCAGCAGGAAGGGGAAGCAGAGGGGGGCAGAGTCAGCGTCTTGTGTGGGTGAGACAGCACCGGATCAGGAGAGCAAAGTGCTGCCAACGGGCACCACGGCCCGTGCCGAGGGCAGGGACTGCTCAGACCCCACAGCCGCCACATAACGCGCCCGTGCCCCGGCTGCTGCAGCAGAGCCAGACACTGGAACGAGTCCCAAGCCTGGCCCTGCTGCCATCCCATGGGCCCTGCAGCACCCCGCACCCAGGGAGTGGGGCTGCTGTCCGCACACTGGCTGCCCTGGCCAGCACCATCTGGGCACCGTGTCCCGAGCACATGGACGCTTGGTGCAGGAGCAGGACCACAGGCAGGGAGCAGCTCTGTGTGCGTCAGCAGTTTGGAAGCCCCATCACTGTGGCTCCAGGGCTCCAGACAGAAACAACATTCCTGCACACGCTCCCGTGTCTGCTGCCTGCCCCGCGTGGGTCGGGATCGCCTCCTCCAGCTGCACCCAGGACCCTGCTTGGCAAAGCACGGAACGTGCTGCGGTCCCGCAGGGCTCCAGCCCCTCCGTGCTCAGCCCTGTGCGCTTCCCGGCCTGCACCACACACCGCGAGTGCCCCTGCCCGTCCCTGCCTGTCCCCTGCCTCAGCGTCCTGCCCCCAGCCCTGCTGCTGCTCTCGTCTGGGTGAGGCTGACGCAGCCGGTGTCTGCCGCTGGATCACCTCTGCCTGCAGGCACTGAAACCAGCGCAGCAGCTTCATCCCTCTGCAGCACCAATCCCAGCACCAAGCCGCGCATGACGGATCCCCCCAGCCGTCACCCCGGCTCCAGGGTGGGTGGCACAGTCACCTCCCCGCATCGGGCTGGGACATTCCCTGCTCCACACCTTCCCCGGCCCCTGCACCCCCCAGGAACCCACCGCCTGCCCCTCAGGGATGTGGATCAGGGATCTCCCCCCCCATGCTCTGCCCTTCCAGGCACCAGGGCCGGCAGCAGGCAGCGCCACAACCCGTGCCGGGGCAGCCGGATGGCCTCCATACCGGACACAGCCCTGCTGATGCTGGAGGGGACCCAGCGCCTTCTGAGCCCTTGCCACACGGCACAGCCCCTGCGCTCCCTGGTGCCATGGGATGGAGAGTAAACCACCACCTGTGTGCTGGGAAGCCTTCGAGGTGGGAAATCCAGGAAGGGTTTGAAGAAACGAGTCAGAGGCATTCAGCACTGGAGGGAAAACAGCCCAGAGCATCCCACCGGAGCAGCGTGAGGAGCCCGGCAGCCCCTGGCAGCACCGGGGCGGTACAAAACATGTGCGAGAGCTCCAAATACCGCAGGGCTCGTATTGTGTTTCGTGACTTGCTTTGCTGTAAACTCATCCCCACTCCTCGAACCTTGCCCCTGCTCAGCTTTTACCCGGTCTTTGACCAACTTTTGCTCTACCAACCAAACCTTCCCACCGGCCAGGAGAGCAGCGCAGTGGGTGTGTGGGGCCCAGGGCTGCAAGAGGCAGCACTGAGATTTGGTCACTGCTTTGGTGGCTTTGGAAATGGGTGTCCAAGGGCAGCCCAGCCACTGCCATCCCCTCAGCCACCTGAGGCCACCTCCTCTGGGGCAACCTGACGGACCCAGCCCACAGAGGCTGTAGCCTGTGGCCCTGCACGGGCACAACACGGCACAGCATGGCACGGCACAGCACAGGTGGGCAGTGCTTTGCTCCCCGGCAGTGAGACAGGCACAGCAGCTGCCTGCTAAATCGGGAAGAGCAGCGATTGTGACAATGACGGGAAACCTGCCCGGCACGCGGAGGGGACAGCGTGGCGCCAGGGACCCGCTGGCTGCCACCAACCCGCCCGCTCAGGACTAAGAAGCGGGCGTTTGTGGAAGGTGAAATATGGGCAAAACCGGTTGTATTTAATTGTAAACTCCGAGCAGCAGAAGGAAGAGCGGTGGATAAACCACTCAGATTTCAGTAAAACATTTGACAACTGTTTGAATCATCCTCTGCCAAATTAATTCAGAGCAGCTCAGTTGTCAACACAGGCATATGGACAAAACCCAGGCAGCCGCGGAATGG